ATAAATGTCTTTAGGGGAAAATAAAGTTTCTATAATGAGCTTATATGAGATTAAAAAATGCCTGGTTACAACTTTTTATCCAATCCACACAGCTCTGGGATACAATTACCAAGTGGTCACCGAGCCATCCAGGCCCCAAAGAGTTTGTGAACTAAAACATTTCAGATAGGAGCAAAAAAACACTCATCGTAAACCTGACAGGGCCCCAAAATCCAGCACGAATCATAACAATTGTCTAAGTAGTGTGTGAATCCTAACCCTGACCCTACCTGGGGTGTCAACGGAGGATTTCAGCAATCTATATCTGATCTTCTCTGGGCATCGGATTTTGACATGTTTCCCAAACCAAAAAGTATGAGTGGGAAACAATCAAGACTATTGATCGTTGCTCTTGGGAGTGAATGAGTTTCAATAATACTTGGTTTCAACTTTTGATCCGACTGACACAGTTTTGGGATACAATTACCGCACAAGCACTGCGCCATCCAGGCCTAAGACAAAAAAAACAAAATTTCAGATAGGAACAAAAAACTACTTGTCATAAACCTGACTTGGGCCCCAAAATCCATCACAGAGCTTTAAAATTGTGAAAGAAGTGTGTGAAGGCTAATCCTAACCCTACCTGGGGTTGCATCTGTGCATTTTCTAGAGCTATATCTGAACTGCTCTGGGCATCGGATTTTCACATGTTCCCCAATCCAACAAGTATGAGTGAGAAAAAATCCAGAGCATTGATCAAAGCTATTGCACTTGAATGTTTTGGTATACCAATTGTATACCAGTTTTGGTATACAATTACCACGCAGAGCACTGCGCCATCCAGGCCCCAAAGAGTTTTCGAAAAAAAAATGTTCTGATAGGATCAAGAAACCACTCGTCCTAAACCTGACTTGGGCCTCACACCCAAGTAGTGAGCTTAAAAAATGGTCTAAGGTGTGTTTGAATGCTAAACCTAACCTGTTATCGCGGAGCTGCACCATCCAGGCCCCTCCCTGAGAGATTCTGAAAAAAAAAATTCAGATAGGATAAAAAAGACACCCACCCTAAGCCTGACTTGTGCCACAAAATCCAGCTCTGAGCTTAGAAATGGTCTAAGTAGTGTATGAATGCTAAACCTAACCCTTGGGGTGTCAACAGATCTACTGTATAGTACTTTAGGTCATTGCTTTCATTGACACAGATAACAGAAAATTTGGATTTAAAGTAAAACAACATATTACAAATGAAATTATATTAATCGCATCACTTTTGTTTTTAGTTACTGCTGTATATTGCATCTTGTTGATGCAGTCTTGTTCATGGTAAATTTTATAGTCATACCCACAGTATAAACATTCTACTCAGTTAAAAATTCAGCATTATTTGATTTCCTCTTTCACTCTGATTTATGTGTCAAAAAATTTGCCTTTTTGTTAAGGCGATACCTATAACTGTAGTTTATTTCCTCTCATTCGTCATGCCCTTCCTTTGTTTTGACTGTAAAAATCCATGTTGTTTTAAAATTGGTTTCTATTTTGAATGTATCTGTGCATCTGGCTGAAAAGGTTTACCCCTCACAACAGCTGTTTTGGGGGATTAATCGCCAAGGGAGGCATAAAAAATGTGCTGAGCAAGCAGGACTGGGAACACTAACATGAGGACATGAGAACGTTCACCAGAGAGGGTAAATTTTCACCTAAAAAAAACTTGAGAACATGGTCGCTATATATAAAGAAGGTGGTCATAAACATCTATGAAGAAACAGACATTTAAATAATATATCCAAGGTTTCAAATGTCAGAAAATCACAGACATACCCGTGAAAGCAGGTGAATGGGCTCAGACACATTGCCCATACAGATGCCTTTCCAATCAATGAGCCTAATCAACAGATGTTGCAGAACCACTGAGCCCCTGGGGATCTGAGCTCACAAGGAGAAGTTTCAAGTAGACTGTGCCACAGCACATGCTCAAGATATATCTCTTGGGCTCAATATGGTAAATGAATCCCCTGACAGTTTTCATGTCCTTGACACAAGCATGTCGATTTTGTGTTTGTGGGTAACATGTCGAGATCAGTAACTTTATGTAGTAGATAAAATGGCCAATTTGCTCTAACTGTCAATGGACCAGTAGACATGGTTTATTAGAACTGAGAGATTGACACTGAGCTCATGCATTACTGCGGTAGGTGTGAACTGAATTGCTCAGCTATTCAGCAGCTTATCTCAAAATGGGAGTTGGTCTCGGATGAATAAATGAAACGGGAAAAGGTTCTGCATGTTCACGCAGTAAGGCAGCAGAGTCTGGAACATAAGATTAGTTAGAAGGAGTGGAGCAGGTTGTCTCATTTGGATCCTTGAAATGGGAAACCCTGTTTGGTTTCCAGCTGTGGAACAGAACAGTGCAAAGGACGCACAGAATCTAAAGAGGTGGGGTTTAACCTACTCAACTTGTGAATCATTTGTTTGCTTTTCAGTCTTCCAAAGACCACGAAATACTAATCAACAGTTGTTGTTGAAAGCAAATGCAATGCAACTCAATGCAGCTCGGTTCCCACTGTTAAAGGCCCTGTGTGGTGATTGTAGATCAGTGACAGCCCTAAAAACACATAGTATACCTTATCAGGACAGAGAAAACAAACTGCTAACAAGTTCTTTTTTATCTTTTTTATCTGCAATTCTCAAAGATCTCCGTAATGGTAGAGAGCATCTGAAATCCTCGAAGAATGCAGCCTGAGCTTTTTAGTTTGTATTTTTTGTGACTTTAGCTAAAACGTTTTTTTTTTCCCGCTGGAACTTGTAGGGGCCAAGCAGAATTTTTTACCCAGGTGTTTTTTTTTACTATATTTTTCTACTTCTTGTTTTTTCCTCTGAAAAAATCCAAACCCAATTATTATCAGATTTTTTATTTAAAATAACTGTTGCTAGGTGGTATGTAAACATAAATCTTTCATTTTTGTTTTCACATTTAAAAACTGATCTTTATATTGTAGCACAACTGATCTTTAAAGTCCTGGTTTTTAAATTACCCCGATAATCGCTGTCTCTTGGTAGTGTTCATGTAATAAGGGTAAAACATTTGCATAGGTAGGCTAACAATGTCATTATAAAACTATACAATAAAAATATTTTTTTAGCCACATTAAAATGTTTAAATTCACATTTTATCCCCTGTGTTGCTCTCCTTTTAATATTGGTAGTCCACACAATAAGCCAAACAATAAGCACTTATGTTCGTTATTGGAACTTTGGGCTGGGATAAAAAGCATTATTTTAATTCAGATTCTTTCATCTTTTTTGTTGAACCCACCGAATTTTGGAGTTACATGACTCTGCAAACCCATGACCACTTGGGAGGCTTCTAAAAACAAAAGGACTTTCAATTAAAAAAAAATCGAAAATAAATATTTGGCCACTTCAGTGTGGTTATAGGGTAAGTAAGAGGCAGGAGACATCAGATTAGAACAACCCTCAAACAATACCCATCGGCTGAATACAGCCCGTCCGAAAGGGAGTCCCGGGTACAGAGGGAAACCCAATAGCGAGACCCCTGAAAAAGGAGCTGAACGGGCTCACGAGGCAGCCCTCAAAAGGGCCAGGGGTGCCAATGTGACTGTCGGGGTTCCCCGTTGTCTCGTGCCGCTCCACCCCACCGGTTTGTCCCACAACACCTGAGGTGTGAACCCGGGTCTCCGGCGTAACGCAACAGGGAACCAGCCGAGGGAGCTAAAGGAGACCTCCCTCAGCCCAGGTGGCTGAGGTCCCCGCTACACGCAGGGAGGGCGATGACGTCACCGTGTCCGAACTAGCTCCGCTACATCGATCAGCAACCCCGAGGGTCAAAGCGGTAAGCAAAGGGAAAGTGAAGATTGCAGGTGCTGGCTAGAACGGGGCGGAGCGGTGGCTCTGTGGCTAAGGATCTGCGCCTGTGGCTGGAAGGTTGCTGGTTTGTATCCCGCGGCCGGCAGAGGAATCCTCCTCTGTTGGGCCCCTGAGCAAGGCCCCCAGCTGCTTCTGGGGGGCCGTATAAATGGCTGACCCTGCGCTCTGACCCCAGGTTTTTCTCCCTGTCTGTGTGTCTCATGGAGAGCAAGTTGGGGTCTGCGAAAAGACACATTCCTAATACAAGAAATAAAACAACCTTCTAGAATAGAGACGGCTGCCTCAGGCGATGTGGGGTGCAGGCAATGAGCTGGAGCTACTGCGAAGCCGAGAGCTGGCTGAGGGCACTGGCTGACGCTGGAGCGCAGAGTGAAGACCGGAAGCCTGGGTCACTGCCACACAGAATCCACCTGGTAGAAAACAGGGAGTCTCTTGTATGGGCAGGAACCGAATTTCGGGCTTCCTGGGAAAGGAGCCAGATGGCTGGTAAGGCAGACTTGAGGCCGCCGAGACTGCTGGGCTGAGCGAAGGCTGGTGGTAATGAGCCTTATAAAATAAAAGACGAGAAACGGGCTACAGGGCAGCCATGGGGCCGCAACGTACAGAACGTGCAGACAAGACCGTCTAGCTCTGCAAACAAAAAGTGAAGTGAGGCAGGAGTGGAAGTGAAAGGGTGCTTGGGGTGAAAAAAAAATGACAAAGCGGCATCTTGGCTTTATATAGCAAAACAGGAATTGAATAATGAGCTAGTTAACACGGATCACGAAAACGAGAATGTCAGAGAATGTGACGGATTCTTAGGGCAACCTTTAGCAGAAGGACGCTGTCATGACAAGAACACAGTATAGACAGTATAAAAATGTGTTTGTTATACTGGAGGAATAATATGAGTCATTCCTTCAGAGCAGGTAACAGAACCCATACTTATGGTTATCCATAAGTTTAGGAACGGTCTGTATGTTAAGGAACAATTTCACATGCAGAATATATTTCCTTACTAATTCTAGGTGTATTTTAAGTTTATGCTCCATTTAGGAAATCTCATGTATTTTAAATCAAGCTAAGTTAAATGATAAATAGTTCAGAATTTCAGAAGATGGCAAGAAACATCTGTGAAGGGTATATACAATATAGGACAAGAACAGCAGACTTGAGAATTAAATTGGCTAAAAGTAAAATAAATCTATATTGCTCACCACACAAACCAATGCATTTACCTTTGTAAATCTGTAAGGTCTTTTTATGAAAGATTTGTAATGACTGAGTCATCTCACATTGCAGGTCCAGACTTTAAATTGTATTTCTGACAAGACTGACATGACTATAATACCTCCATTAGAGGTTTAAAAATGGTGTGGTGAGGCAACCTTTTTTTCCCCCAAAACATTGTTCTTAGACCTAAACTTGCTGATTGTTTTTTTTTCTTCTCCTGACATTGAGATCTGAGCAAGCAAAGGTGACATTGCTAATTTTCTGAAACCCTGCTCGGAATCGGTCAATGGTAATAAGATTGAGCTCCACAGCAGGATACGTCTTGTAAACTCTACGGCATACGACTAAAGCTAGATAATGAAACTAACAGCTATAAATCCAAAAGAGCAAGTTGTATTTCATCTCTGGTTAATCATATCAAGACTCGCAAGGTGGCATGGCTGTTCGTCTTGTACGCCCCCAAGTCTCAAGTTTGATTCTGGCTTGGGCATCTCTCTCCATGTTGTTTGCATGTTCTCTGTTTTTGCATTCATTTTTTTGACAGGTGTTCCAGTTTCCGCACTCCTCCAAAGGCCTACAGGCTAGGTGTGATTGGTAAGACAGAATCCGGATGTGATCCATGTGATCTGTAAAGACAGAAAGAAAGACACAGAGAGACAGTAGGGGACAAACAGCATCAGTCCAGTTTTATATTTCATGCAGAGAAGTGTAGGAAAAAGTACAGCTCAAACATAAATGATTATGATATTCACAAGGGAGGAAAGCATACCTGCAAAATGATTTACTGTACTATACTTTCTTCACTACACTCACTAGAATAATATTGAAGACTTGTAGGCATTTTCTGGTATTTGTACTATAAATTAAGCAATCAGTAAGAACAATCAGAACAATCAGTAATTTCCTTGTATGTTATAGTGATGCAAACAAAGAAATAAATTAGAGGGAAAAGAATTACAAAAGTTAAATTATAAATGACATCCCCGCTGTGCTTTATTTTGTAGAGTGCAATTAAATTAATTACATGCCCTTTCTCTTTCAAGTTTGTTGTCTGTGTTTTTTGAAATTCTGAGTCAGGTTTTGCTCTTTCTCAAAAGACAGACTGCTAAGAAGAGAGTATACACAGTATGTACTCTTTCTGCAAAGTGTTTTAGTAAACTGACCATAAGGACTTCCTGTCAGCTGTCTTCTTCGTGTTCATTCTTACATCTATTGGACAAAATGGCCGTTCCTAAGAAAGCAAAGTGAGATGCTTGCTCATTTCAGCCCTTTTGGGGAGATTATGATTATGGATATGTTCGACATAAAGACTGTGCTGTTTGAGCTCTATGTTGTGAAAGCATTGTTTGTCGCACAACACAGGACAAGCAGGACAAGGCTGAGTCAATCAAACAGACCACAGCTTTGTATGGAAAACAAAGCAGCATCTTCACTAATTTCCTTGTCAGTAACAATTAAGCCACAGAAGCAAGGTATACAATTGTACAAATTGACGTGTGTTACGAATTGGAAAACCAGTTGCAGATAAAGAATATATAAAAGAGGCTTTTCTTAATTGTTCTGATGTTTTGATTAATGGTTTGCCCAACAAAGACATGCCCATCTGTGGAATTAAAGACCTACCTGTGTCTGCTAGATCAGTGGACACGTGTGTAAGCGAAATGGCCAAAAAGGTAAACAAACAACAGACAATTGGTATTAAAAATGTAAAAGTACTCAGTGGTTGTACTTGATCAGTGCATGGATATAGATGACGTACCACGATAAGCAATTCTTGCGAGATACAATGGACTAAAAAATTATTGGCACCCTTAGTCAAGATGAAAAAAAAAGATGTATATAATAAACAGCACAGATAATAAGACATATTTATGTCTAATATGTTTAATAATGCTGGAGAATACACTTGGAGGTATCTTGGACCATTCCTCTATGCAGAAATTCACCAGATCCTTGATGTCCTTATTGACTGGCCTCATCAATTCAAACCACAGGCTTTCAATTGGGTTTAAGTCTGGAGACTGGGATAATTATTTTGACACCTATGTTTTTGAGAAAAAGCAGCATTACTTGTTTAAAAACATTCATTTTGAAAGAATTGCATGGGAATGAAAGCCTATAGTTTTCTCATATTTTGGTAAAAAACCTTAACTCTATCTATTTCATACAGCCTCTTGTTGCTATTCTTTATCAAGGGTCCCGATACTTTTTGAGCCCACTGTCCTGTTACTCAGATGGAGCTGTGCTGCCTAAATCCCTTTCATGGCACAACTACAGGGGAACCTACAACACAGGACTTTTCTTAATCATTTCAGTGATTTAACCCTGCTATGGTTGGAAAAGAGAAGCAATTCATAAAGATCATTGTGGATCACATTGTCCACCTCACAGTAATTTTTTATTGGACTATTCATCAGCAAAATTGGTGCCAAGGTTTCAGAATATTGTAGTGCCCTCACCCCGGTGGTGAGGAGGAAGTGCACCTAGGCACTGAGGGTACTTCAAAGCAGGCTGGGAGTTGTAGCCGGGGGAGTCTGAGGGTCCGTAAGGTGACCAGCAGCTGACCCTGCTCACGTAAATAGACCTATGTTAGTTTAAGTGTTCTGTGAAGCTTAGTAAGTGTGTAGAGTCTGTTAACGAGTTACCACCCTAAACCTGTGTTCAGTACGTGTTCCATCGGTCCCCCAATGCATGTGTAAGTCCTGTGGTTGTTGTTGTTGTAAAGGAGAATAAAAGCTGGTGCTTGTGTGCCTACTTTGTCTCTGCTTGTTTTTTGTCCTGCGCGAACCTGTAAGTGCTACAATATCTTAAGAATGTGATGACTACAGTGGTGAAAATAGTTTTGTTTTTGCTCAGTCTGCCTTGATTGAAGCTGTTGCTTCAGGATATGGACAATGTGTACAAGGACATTTCACTTCACAGCAATGGTTGTTGGCTAAGCTGTGGGAACGTTTGGGCACAGTTTGTGGATTTTGATGCAATCAAAATCTTTTTGTCAGGAAAAGGTCAAAACTACATTGAACTACATGATGAAAAACGGATTGCATAACTATTTTTTCCAGTTGACACGCATATGAATGAACTCAACCTTTATCCACAGGGTGCCGATCAAGCTGTTATGGGTGGAAGGAATTTCTTGCAAAACTTGCCCTTTTTTTTCAGGACTTGATACATCAGCCTTTGGCCTAAAGAACATTTTAAAGAACTTTCAAATCATTGCACAATGCGTGTTGCTGAGTTCAGAATGTACATGTGAAAACTGGCATCAGAATTTTCTGTCAGATTTCAAGATTTCCAATATTTTGGTCCAACGTTCTCTTTCCTGACTTTTGACGTCTTTGATACCAGCGACATGGATTTTTCTGTGTTTCAGTGGATGGGTGTTGAGGATTTTGGAATGCTGCTAATTGAATTACAGTGCTCAGACTTATGGTACTCTAGGAGTTCTGGGATCTGCGAAACACACTTGAGGTTCCTCTATCATGACCTGTCCCTGCCAGTGAAATTTGACTGTTTGAAGAAAGTGGGATTTTCACCGCTCTCTGCGTTTGTATCTACAAATGAACAGGCATTTTCACACGAGGAGTCAGATCTTTATCCCTCCCGTAGCCAGTTAATAACTGAACACTCAGAGGATTGCTTGCTGCTTAAAGTGTCAAGCTACGACTCTGACGCTGGAGAAGCAAGGGAAAGCAAGGGCAAGGATCACGCCAAATAGTAAGACATGCATGTTAATGGATTCATTTTAGGTATCGTTATGCTTTAACATGAACTTTTGTTATTAATCAAAATGTAAGTAGAGTTATTACCGTCATTAAAAAAAGTATCAATGGCATGCAAATCCGTAACAAGAAGTGCAC